TTATCACGAAGGCAGAACCTTATACATTGAAATCGAGTTGTCGCTTCACAGCAAGCTCAAATCATTGACCATTTGCGAGGTCATGAAGGCGATCCAACATTAGTTGCGAGTTGTCGCTTCACAGCAAGCTCAAATCATTGACAATTTGCGAGGTCATGAAGGCCACTGTAGGTACTGGATCTCATCTTCTCTCGATTGTATCGAGTCACGCCGTGATCCTGTGATCACTTACCATTGTTAAAACCTCACCACTAGAACTATTATTACTAAAACTACATTCAAACGCCTTGGAAGCAACAAGGCAAAGGGGTTGGCCCACTATCAAGAGTATACTATACTATGGTTGTTTGACTAGAATAGGTATTTAACATATGGAAGATTTACAAACCATTCAATTTCTTAAGTATTCACATATATAACAACTAAACTTCAATTTTTACATACATACCACCTTATCTAGGCCTCAAAAGGTGTACTTCACTTTTTTAAAGTTAAAATTATGGTAATTTTACATGATATGAAAGATTTGAGTGAAGCCCCTTCCATTCTTTATGAATCCTACTTCTCTGGGGATTTTGCAAATCACGTTAAAACTTGAAGTACAGATAGAAAGCAGTTTTAGCGCAGTTAACAAGCTTCTAAAGACTCTTTTGGATGATTTTAGCAAAAAAATTATTACATGGCTCGATCTTGAAACAAAACAGCCTCGTTGTGCCCTCTGAGCCCATTTAAAGGATTGAAAATGGCTCAAAAGATTTAAAGAATGCCATGCAAGGAAAACAAAAAATGCACTAAAATCCTTTTGCATCTAACTCTAAAACAAAGATGAGTAAATCCTGCAACCGAACAGCTCCATAAAATAGTTGTTGGCTGCATCGGTTGCCTCTTAAGACATCCATGATACCTCGCCATTATATTGACTGCAGACGAAAGCATTGACCATAACTAGCTTCTGTCAAACAAAAATATAGTTGAGCATTATCACCACCGCCTGTGGATTAAAACAATATATATAAACTCCCATCATGAATGAGAAACAAAGGAATTCTTTCGCTCAAAAATAAAAAATCCTAAAGAAAATAACCCAAACATTTATCATGGTTTAGCACAATTTAACAATACAAAATTGCAATGCCAAATAGACTGTTGGTAACAGAATTTGTGGGGCATTTAAGCAACAAAAAAGAAAAGATCGTAAAAAATCTCATATCCCATTTCTAATCCATTTTGCCTTTGAAAAAGATGAGAGTTAACTTCCTCAATGGTTTCGAGTAGTAGCAGAGCGGAAAGGGGAGAAAGATGAGAGGATCAAAGATCATGGCATGGTGCCATCCCGTCATTGCCTTCATTATCTCTAGTCACGACAGTATTGTGATGTTTCGAGCACGATAAGGGTGAGCGTAAGAGATGGATTTGGGCGAACCCATACTGGGGTATGGGAGCCAAGCCAGGGTTTCGAGGGAGTAACAGGATTTATTAAATCCTGCTTTAAAATGTTTTGAAACCCTTGATATGTTCCTATGAAATAATGATAGCTAAAGCATCCAACATAAAGTAGACGACAAGCTGCCGCTGCAACATCTCACCAAACCCTGGAAAGCTAAAATCATTTTGGCTGCACTGGTTGCCTTTACAGGCCATCCTTGATGCCTCGCCAATACAGCGAAAGGGGATGGAGGAAAAAAACAGTAGCACCACCAATTAAAACGTCGAACCTAAACTCGTTCAACAAAAGGGGTCGTGACAAGTGAGAGAAGCTGGATATTTGCCGCTTGTAGTAGGACAATACAGCGCATGGACGTGGGAAGTGGGATGGGCTTAAACCCGCTGGAGGGCCTGTAACACTTCAACCCCAAATCAAGTAACACTATGGAATATTCCAAAAAACCGCAAAATAATCAAATAACACCATATAGTACTCGAATAACACATCATTTTTACAAATAATGCAAATGGAATATTCCCGTAACACAGCCGGATCTTCCAATCCGAACGTAGCTCTATGTTAGGAGTCCTGATGTAATATTTTTTCCGCTTAGAACGCAGCAAAGGGGTCGCCGCTTATAAAAACTCAAAACTTCCATTTTTCTCTTCCTTCCACTACTCTCCTACCTGAAACCATTGAGGAGGGCAACATCACGTCTTCTTTTTCATGCGTGTCCGTCCAAGATTTACTAAATTAACCCATTTTACAAATCCAGGATTTAAGGCCGAAATCAATGAAATCCAGGATTTATGAAATCCGAGGCTTTATTTTGTCCAAAATGACCATTTGGCAATATTTAGGTTAAATCCGGCTTAGGTCCTGCTCTCCATCCGTTGCCAGACAGTTTCTTAGTTTGTGTTCATGCATTTAGAGATTGCGTTGTCTGATTTTTCTACCCAAAGTAATGTTGTACTGCCACTTTTTGCAAGTGATTTGTCAATAACTTGTTCAAGAATATATGGTGGATCTCTAATGGAAACCATGCCTCATCAGATCCATATTTTTGTGGTTCTCTTCGCTGTTTCAATCCAACAGCCGTCAAACTTTTCCTGCACCCTTCCAAAGTCCACCCACCTCGCATACTCTCTTTCTACTGCTATTCCATAACCTCTCCCGGCTGAATCAGATCCTTAAATTTCCATTATTTTCAGTTTCATCCTGTTTCTGGTCAAGAACGCAAATAAAAATCTCAAGAGACACATCTACAATAATGAGTTAAACAAATATATGGAAATTACTTGCCATTATCGGCCAACATTATATCCATCTACAGCCTTGAATTTCCAATATTGCCATAAAAGTCGCAGAAAATTGGGCCACGCTAACAGGTTAAAGAGAGAATGCGGTGACCTTCAAGCTCAAAAAAATCCCATCAAACAGAAAATAAATCTATCAGAAATTCCTTACAATATCCAGGGTTGGCTTACCCATCATGGGCGTGTAAAGC